TTCATAAAAACAACTTAATTTATTAATTTGTATACAATAATAGGGTCCTATGAAATTTTAATTTTATTTACTTATTTTTTAGAAATTCTGTGTTGTGTATTTTCATTTTTCTGGTAATCAAATGAAGGCAAAAACATTAATTATTAAATTGCAAAAATACTATTTAGCTACTACAGATGACAACCGCGAGCGTTGCGCGTACTTAAATAGCAAACTAGCAAACGAAATGCGCGTCTGCGCCATTCATTCCATCACATTCCGTGTTACACAGTAAATTCCATTTTTATGAATAGCTTCCGGGATTCCGTCCCCATTTTCTACATCGCCCTACTTTTGCTAAGAAGCATGTTCAACGCTGACGCACAAACGGTTGTCGTGGTAATGAACACCACAGCAACCACTTGTGCGTCAGCACTGAACGCGCATATCGCATATAAAAAGCATTTTAGGGGGCCCTTGACTTTTGGGGGCCCAAGGCGGTCACCTACCTTTGCCTAATGGTTAAGTCCGCCTCTGGCTAGATCTACTGAGCCATTACTGACGAAAACAACCATTTTTCTCTTCTGGTCAAATATTCCCTGCAAACATCAATAACAGCTTTAACTTGTCAATGCTGGCAAATTACCATGATATACGCGGGTTAATCCATGGCTAATTGTGAATTAAATGATTTTAATGCACTTTGCTGAGATTCTTTGCTTCCACATCGTGCATTAAAATAGTTTAATGCACACCTAGCCATGGATTATCCTTTACATAAAGATTTATTTTCTTCTCAAGGCTATAGCTATAGTTATTTACTGAAGGCTTATGAGATTTTTTTTTATTTTGTATTATTTGATGGGAGTAAACCTGCTCTATGGGACAGTAAGGACTCCGCCTCATTGTTTGTTCTTATTGTCCCATATTCCTTATAATTTTGGGCTAAATTATTTGATTCTTGAATTTATGGTTTGTTAAATGGCTGAAATGGGAAGAGCTAAAACTGTTTGAGAAAACCCAAAAGACTAATAGAGATTTAACAAATGTTTAAAGGGACAGTACACCCAAAAATGAAAATCTGTCTTGATTGTTTACCTACACACCTGTATGACTTGCTTTCTTCTGTGGAACACACAAAAATATTTTGAAGTTGAATATTTTCTTGTTTGTTTTGTCTGTACAATGAAAGTCAGTGGGGTCCAATCTTGTTTATTGTCTTCTTTTGTGTTCCATAGAAGAAAAAAGTCATACAGGTTCGGAGCAACATGACGTGAGTAAGTGTTGACAAAATTTTCCATTTTCTGTGAACTATCCCTTTAAGAGTCATATGTACAGTATATAGATTATAATGAGCTCTGCTGCGGGAGAGAGGAGACAAGAGGTTAGAGAAAACAGAAGAGCTGTGATTTTAAGTAGCAGTCAGAGGAGGAGGTTTTCTCCAGCAGAGTGTTGGTTCCTCCTGAGGTTTCTTCCTTATCTCATTCAACATCATCTCGCCTGTGGCTGCTTACTAGAGGGTTTGTGAGCTGCTATTGTTTGTAAAGCGGCTTTGGAACAATATGTATTGTGAAAAGAACTATACAAATGATTCCATTTGAGGCGAGAGAGAGAAGAAACTAGATGAAATGAGAGTGATGGGGAAAAAAGAGAAACTATATGAGATTTCTTGTTTTCTTTGTCGTTTTGTTAACATGATTCAAGACATTTATATCCTAATTAGTTCATTGTTTTTTACTATTCCACATATGTTATTCAGTAGTCTCTGTTATAAGAAGGTCACTTTACTGTAGTTTTGGCAGGTACACTGTTCAAAAGTTTGGGACCGGAATGATGATTATTATTATTATTTTTTACATTTATATATAATATATATATATATATATATATATATATATATATATATATATATATATATATATATATATATATATATATATATATATATATATATATATATATATATATATATATATATATATATATATATATATATATGCTCATCAAGGCTGCATTGATTTAACAAAATACAGTTAACAGTAATACTGTGAAATACTTTTACAATTTAAAATAACTGTTTTCTATTTAAATATATTGTAAAATGTAATTTATTCTAATTGATCAAAGCTGAATTTTTAGCATCATTATTCCAGTCTTCAGTGTCACATGATCCTTCAGAAATCATTCTAATATGCTAATTTGGTGCTCAGGAAATATTTACTATTATTTTCAGTGTTATTGATTATCATGCTGATTAATATTTTTGTGAAAACCGTGATTTATTTTATTATTTTTGTAGGATTCTTTGTTGAATAGAAAGTTCAAAAGAACAACATTTAATTAAAAAATATATATATATATTTTTCACTTTTGATCAATTTAATGGATCCTTGCTGAATAAAAGTATTGATGTGGAATATTTTATCTGATGTTTGAATAAGTTCAGTATTTCAGTAATTGGCAATATTTATCTATTTTTTATAGTCTATGTATTTTTGTGTAATTCTTTTTTGTCAATATTCGTTTTTTGCCATAGGAAACAACAACCAGCCAACTATGAATAAAGAATGATTAAAAGATTTTAATGTACACACACTGATGTGCTTACACCCAAACCGGTGAGCTCAAAAGGAAATAAACCTTCGTTTATGAGACGATAAGAGAACTCTTGCACCTCTGCAGAATAAAACCCACTTAATTTGTCAGTTTGGTTTGCTGTATAGAAACCGCTTCATTTGAAGCACTGCAGCATTTTTAAATGTAAACAAGGATGTAGAAAAATAAAATTATGCTGTGAGAGCAGTTCTCAAAAACCACTGTAAGCCCGACTGCTAGACTTTATCTTCTTAATTGACTGCGTTGCAGATCCAGACTCTGTTTAATGCAAATGAAAAACAACACAACACCTGGAGCAACTGCCAACCAGACTGTCTCTGGCTCTGAACGCAGGAAAGAGAGATATTTATGGAAAAAAGATCTGTAAGAAACAATGTGAAATATCATCCATTACGGTGAATAAACAGAAGTGCTGACAGAAATCATTAGAAATGAAATCAGAGCCAGACGTCTAATCTCGCCAGTATTTTCGTTAGCATTATTTAATGTTGTTCCAGCATATGCTGACAGGTCTCCCATCTGTTATTGTAATAATTAGATGTGTATCAGTGTTCTGCACACTGACAGAGACTCTCGGTCTCTCCAGGAACTGCCAAATTACTGCTCAAATGTAAGACACAAGTCAATATGGTGCACAAGTTACTTTAATCTTCTTGCTTATGAAAAGCCCCTCAGATTTCCAGAGAATGAAGTGAAGTGTGTGTGTGTGTGTTTTGAACCTCCCACCTGGCAGAAATTGTTAAAACAAACACATCATGTGGCTAATGATCTGTAATAATGAATTTGGATAATGTGTACATGAGCCTATGTGCATATACAGTACGTAATGTGTTATAATCAGTCATATGTTCATACTTGCAAACATTTGTTAGTTTTTAAAAAAAGCTGGTGCATTAAATCAGATGGTTTTATGTGTCAGTTCATTCTCATAATTGATGAATTTTGCGACATTAACTGTTAGTTTTCTGCTTGTTACTGTGAAGCAAGCTGCTTTGAAACTATCTGTATTGTATAAAACTTTATATAAATAAATGTGACTTGACTGTTATAATGCATTGTATTCTTTAAAGGTGTAATAATTATAGGTACTATTAAAATTATGTGTTATGACTGATTGCAAGTACTTTTGCAAAGGTATAATGCATTACATTCTGTTTTATGAATACCTATATGAAGGTAGTTCCAATTATAATGCATTATACAGACTTCACGTATGTTAGCTGAATTTGCATTAAGTCAGTCAGTTGGATATATTTTACTGTTATTACATCGTACTTAATTTTTACAAATATATTCATTGAAACACACAGGTCTTCATGTCACAGAAAGGAGTGTAGGAGTCTGTGTGTCTCATGGGAGTTTAGGCTGATGACTCATTCTGTGAATCTGTTCTGCAGCAGTGTGGACTGCTGAGGGAAACAGTCTCACAGCACTACCATGTGTCTACATTATATATCGCATTTATGTTATGATGAATGATGTTGTATTTTATATATATGTATATATGTGTGTGTGTGTGTGTGTGTATATACATGTGTGTGAGTGTGTGTATGTGCATATACACATTATACATTATTATTACATTATATCTCTGTGTGTGTGTGTGTGTGTGTGTGTGTGTGTACATATACAGTATATATATATTTACCATTCAATATAAGTGTAGAGGTGACCGTGCATTCTCTGTAGTTGCCCCCAGACTCTGGAATGAATTACCTATCACAATCAGACTTGCCCCCTCTGTATCTGCTTTTAAATCTATCTTAAAAACATGTTTGTTTGACAAGGCTTATAATCTGTATTAACACTTTCCTGCTTTACATTTTTTTTTAATTTTTTTTTTATTCTTTGTGTATTTTTAAGTAAATGTGTTTTTGTGTTTTCATTTTTTATTTTGTTGTAAAGCACATTGGACAACCATGGGTTGTAATTAATGGTGCTATATAAATACATTTTGCCATTGCCAATCATTAGGATTATTAAAAAAATGTTTTGAAATGTCCCTTGCAACCAAGGTTGCATTAATTAGATAAAAAATACAGTAAAAGACATAAAACATTAGTAATTTTTTATATTTTATTTATTTATTTATTTTTTACAATTTAATATAACTATTTCCTATTTTAATATATTGTTAATAGATAAACCATGATCTCTTTTTCAGGATTTTTTATGAATAGAAAGTTAAAAAGAATAGCACCAATTTTTTTTTTGAATATAAATTTTTGTAGCGTTATAACTGTCACTTTTGATCAGTTTTAAGCATCCTAATGCATTCGTTTCTTAAAAAAAAGTAATGGTATATACTTTATCATTTGTAATTATAAGTATCATTCATAACGATAAACAATATAAACTTTATTCCAATATATTTTTTTCCAGTGAATTTGTATCAGTGAGGGTTTATTTTGAAAGTCAGTATCTGTATAAAAAAGTACTTTAGGTTATAACTGCAAAAATAATTATTGAACATGTTCACTATTTTTGCCAATAATGGGGCATGTTGCCCTACTATATGGAATAAGCTTTCACAGCGGGATCCTTTCATTAAACTGGCTATTTTAGAAAAAAATTAGGAATACAGTCCAGTCTTCAAGTTAAAATCTGCCTTCGTTAAGTTCAATTTATGACATTCCTGAACTAGAAAAAATCATGCATTTGTGTAATTGCACTTGAATTGTTTTGGACTGTTTGAACTCCAAACCTCATACAGTTACTGAGCCAAAGTGTTTGTGGCAACCTTCTGTGTGACAACTAGCCCCGCACCCTGCTTTTTACTACTCCTACTTGTCATGGTTTTGTATATTTACCACATAACATACTCTTATTACAACACAAGTGCACTTATTTCTGAAGGTCACATTGTGGAGGACCATACCAACTGTTTGATTACATGGCCAGATCTTTAACCACCAGGTTTCATAAACATTCATAATACATCATCTCTCAGTGAGGCTGAATGTCCCTCACAGGCAGCACACTCCTGCCCCCGTACGGCAGTCCAAACATAGGCAGGGTTTCTGCTGTATGGAGACCCTGGACGGGGCCGAACTGCCTCATGTGAAACTGCTGGGCGAGTTTGCGAGTCATGACGCGCAGGGCGAGAAACGAGGCCAGCAGCTCGCCCAGCAGGAACGCCAGATAGAGAGAGTGAATGGCCCGCTCCAAAGGAAGAATGATGGTGTCTTCATCAGTGATGAAGAAGAGGATGATAGGCAGCTGGAAGAGGAAGGAGATCAGCCAAAATCCAGCCAACTCTGGAACCTAAAGAGAAGAATGAAGAAAGGAAGAATTAAGGTATAATTTTATAATAAGCATTAGCATTTCTTTTAGATTGCTACTAAAATTCATTCATTAATTTGTTCGTTATTTATTTATTTGTTTATATTTTATTTTTATATAATTTATTATTTAATTCATTTATTTTATCAGCTGCGGTGAGTACAATTATTTATTTTATTTTTATTTAATTGTTTTATCAGCTGTGGTCACTACATTTATTTATTTATGTTTCATTTTTATTTTATTCATTTGTTTTATCAGCTCTGGTCATTACTTTTGTGGTTTGTTTATTTTACATTTTATTTCTATTTAATTAGTTTTATCGCCTGTGGTCACTATTTTGTATGTTATTTTTATTTAATTTGTTTTATCAGCTGTGGACACTACTTTTGCGGTTATTTATTTAGTATTTATTATTTATAAAGTTCGTAAAATTATAGTATGTACATTTTGGAGCTTGAATGCTCTGGTCATTTTTTTAATTCATTTTTAGATCTTTTTAGATCTTATAAAGATAAATGTACTGTCATACTTTTAATGATGTTAATGAGTAAAATCAAATGACTTTCATTAACAAATTTTTATAAATAAATAGCAATTTCAATATTTGTATTTTTTTTAAATCTTGCTTCGTAACTATAACATAGCTTACATAGTCCCAAAGTAAAAAAAATACTTTTTCTAGTTCATCTGCCAGACATAAATACTCACCAGTAGTCATGTGTGAGTAAAATTAGCATTTAATCTCAGGATTTTGTCACTTTCTGATAATTTGATCTCCCTTTATTGCATACAGGCTCTATTAGGCCATGAGCAGTGTTTAGATGAATGATTTCTAACATTTCTTGTGCATTACCTTCTCTTTGAGATTCCCAACATAACCGAGATACACCCGCAACACCTCGAATATGCTGATCAGGACCATCCCTGTCACCAGCAGACACTGGTAATACGCTGGAAGATAACTGAACTATGGAAATGGAGAATGAAACAGAGGTAAGATGAAATATGACCTTAAAAAAATATCCACAACCCTATCTGACCTCAAAAAATACAACTTATCTAAATATTATTACAAGTAGGTGAGCAGGGAGGGAGGATTTTTCATGTCTTGCAATTAGAAATGATAATTACAGCAGCATCTCATTGGATTGCTGTGATTTAGCTGCGCTATTAAAGGTACAATATATAACAGTAGCACTTGAACTTCAGTGTGCAGTTCACAAAGGCAGACCATCACCATGGATACAGGAGCCGTTCTAATGTTTGAACACGCTTTATCTTGCATCGCTGCTAATGGCCTGCCAGCTGCAGCTATTACGGATGTGATGTTCATGCATTCGATTTAATAAACACTTTCACTTTTAAAGTCACTAAAATGCTCCCTAAAACTGTTTGAAAATGTTTTGTTATTTCAAAACTCATTTGTTAACACATTATTTATCTGGACCTCTTCAACCTTCTGCATGTTATAGACACAAAAAAGTTTTAAACAATTAGGTTTGTCATTTTATTATTTCCCTGAGGTCCACTTACAATGCTGCTAAAGTTAGAATTTTGTGAGTGTTTTGCAGAGGTTCAGAACAGGGTTATTAGTTAACTAAAACTGAAACCAAAAAAAAAAACAAAAAAATAAAACATTACTTGGAATAAACATTAACTGAAATAAAATATAAAAAAAACCTTAAGCTTTAATTTAAAATAAAAAAAATAAAACTAGTATAAAATGACAAATTACTAAAATCTTAAAATTAAAATGAAACTAAATATAAACCTGTTATATGTTTTCATAAACTAAAAACATAAAATAATGAATTAAATGTTAACTGAAATGAAATATAATGAAAAAACTTTTTTTTTTTTCAGCTATAGTTTACAAGGTAACATTTCAAATTTTAATTTAGTTTTACTTGAAGTGCTAAAATAACTAAAACTAAAGATTAAATAAAATTAATAACTATATGTGACCCTGGACCACAAAACCAGTCTTAAGTGTCAATTTTTCAAAATTGAGATTTATACATCATCTGAAAGCTGAATAAAGAAGTTTTTTCATTGATGTTAGGTTAGGACAGTATTTGGCCGAGATACAACTATTTGAAAATCTGGAACATTTTTGTAAAAAAATAAATACATTAAAAAAAAGACAACAGAATTGCTAAAACTTTTCATTAAAATAAAATCTAATTCAAAATGTTAACAAAAGCTATAATACTGTATCAATGATGCTAAAATAACTCTGGTTCAGAAAAAAAATTAATATGTTTCATAATGTATTATACAGTTTTATTTCATAAGATCAAGGAACTTCTCATAATATGACCCCTATGAAGTAATGATTAGTTTATTGAAAATATCTTTGATTATAATTGAATGCACCTTTAAGTGCAGCATTAGCACCTCTGAGATCCACCAGAAGGGGAAGTAGAAGATGTTGAAGTAGAGCAGCATCTGCAGCGGGAGATGAGACGCCACCTCAGCACACACTAGACAGCAGCACAGCACAGGATGACAGATCAACACGGTTGGTAAGATCACTTAACCAGTGGCCAGTTGTATAAACTACTTGGTCTTAAAGGGGTCATATGATGCTTTTTTAAAGATCATTATTTTGTGTATTTGGTGTAACAGAATATGTTGACATGCAGACTAGTCTTTCAAGTCATCCAATTTTTTTCTTCAAGACTGGTCATAACTTTTTAAATTCAGTTACATAAATGTGACCCTTGACCACAAAACCAGTCTTAAGTCGCTGGGGTATGTTTGTAGCAATAGGCAAAAATACACTGTATGGGTCAAAAATATAGATTTTTCTTTTATGCCAAAAATCATTAGGATATTAAGTAAAGATCATGTTCCATGAAGATATTTTGTTATTTATTCAGCTTTCAGATTATGTATAAATTTTAATTTTAAAAAATTGACCTTTATGACTGGTTTTGTGGTCCAGGGTCACAAATGGTATATTGGTCTAATTTGAATCTGAAAAATAAGACTAACTGCTAGTTAGTCAAACTAGTTCTGAAGACACAGTCTTAACATTGTGACTAAGTGTATGCAATTGGCCCCAGGTCTTTAATAATGTTTAATCAAATATAATTGCTTTTTAAATTGTTCATTATTATTTCCTTTACCACCTGGAGTGAATTACATACATTTTTTTTAAAGTACGTTGAACACTTCTATTGAGATTTGAGTAAACTGAGACTATTATAAGCACTGTAGACATTATCTGTGAATGGGGCACACTTTGGTGTCTCGCTCCTTTTTTTTTTTTTTTTTTTTTTTTTTGTGGGTT